TATCCATTTTACTTGTCCTTCACTTCGCTTGCTTCTACCAAGGAATCGAAACTCGATGACCAGCCTGCCCACCTGACTAAATAGTACAATTTCCCTTTGTCTTTCTTTTTCTTTAACACTTTTTCAATATCCCATGCGGCATCTAGATCTTTATCGACACGCTGTAATTCTTCTTCGTAAAAGCGTCCCTTTAAGAATTGGTCGTGAAAATCTTTCAGTGTGTATAAAGGAATACCCTGTCGTCGATAACGGGCTGCTACTTTAAATAACTCTTCCGTCCATCTCAAGTTGTGTTCCTTAGCAAAAGGTTTTCTCAAATAACTGATTCTCACGATATCCCCTATTTTATATTGAAAGGGACGGAGCTTGTGTGTAATGTATGGTGATGGTTTCGTGTATAAATGATTCCATACTTTGATTTCATTTCGCTCGTTCACATCTGCAGGAGCCCACTCACCCAAACTTCTGTGTACTGTGTGATTGTAATTATACACTAAATCGGGTAGCACGTCCACATAGCGCTGGGTGTTCTTGTGTGTCAGATACCTCGCTATGAGTGACCTCAACGTTCGAATGACTCTCTCGGCGTAATTCGCTTTAATGTCTTCGTTCTGAGTGACGAACAGTTTGATCGACTGGCGCTCTATAAAACTCTGGAATGCCCCTTTAAATTCCGTACCTCTGATGGTTTGTGGCTCGCCCCATCTGCGCACACTCTCTTTATATACACAACAATGATAACAGACACATGCATTGTTCAATACTATTATTTATTACATACAAGGCAAACATGAGTGTACAGCTATTGAGATGCTACTTCGGATTATATACAACAGCATACCGTTCACCGGAATGCTCTTTCTAAATAAAACATTTTCCATACACGGTCCTGTATGTCTTTTAACCAGTCACCTGTTTTGAAGTGAGTGTCCAGATGGTCCTTACACCGATACTGACAGATAGCGTGGGAAGACATGCTGCTTAAGCTTGGATCTTCGTGAATCAAGCGAATCCATTGATCAATCACACGATCGTCATTCACTTCGTCTAAGGCTGTATTTATGTATTGGTGTATTTTGTGTTGGTCAGACAAGTCCTGACAAGTATGGTATTGACTGTCAGTTTGTTCAAACATGCAACCGAAACACAGTTGGACGGCGAGTCGTTTGATAATTTTACACAGTTCCACAGTATAGCATAGCGTCAGTAACGACAACATGTAGTCAGTGACTTCAACCGATTCCACTTCATCTACGACGATAGCTTTCATCTTCTTAGTGATGATTCGCTTTAACTTCTTATCCTCGTTGGGGACTTTCATCTCGGCATCTTGTATACAATGTTCCCGATGTTGAAACCATCTAGACGACTGTATAACGACGGTTTCGTGGATCCGATCGGGTTCGCGTTGCACGTACTTCCAGGTGAAGAAAGTCATTCTGTCACTCGACATTCTATATAGGATGGAAGTTTTCTTTCTCGGCTAGTATGCAGGGAAGGATGCGACTCGTAAGGAAGTCTCATGCCTGAATGAAACAGTATGCGTGGTGTACTTTCTTTTTATATCTGTTATATTTAGAAAAGGATATCATGATGCAGTCATCGTATAGTCTGCACAGTCACAGTTCATTATAACGTACACATACTGCGTGGATTGTATACCATACAGTCATCCAGTAGCGTCCTGACTTTGAGCAGCTGACGCCATTCTTCTGGCTTAAGAGCCATGCCTTTGCGCGTTGGTTTTACTTCCCGTTCGCCATCAGGTAGCCACCACTGCCGTATATCCACGACTTTGTTGGGCGAGTTCATGGTTAGGAAAACGTTACACCCTAACGGTAGACAGAGAGAGCAATCTTCCTTGTTCAGGATTTGACTTAACGAGTCTGACACAGTCTTTTCAATAACATTCAGCTGCACCCATTGATCCAGAGATAAACAAATACCTGCCTTGGTGGGATAGAGTAAGCCTTCAGCACTCCATTCGTATTGACGAATGTCTATTTTCCACTCTCCACTCCAACGGGTAGCCTTGATGTAGCGACTACTGCCGATATGAAACATACTCTCTCTGTGTTCTTCTGATGAACCCACTGCTTGCTTTGTGGATCCCGTAGATGGACTTGTACTGCTCGTTGCCATGACTCAAGGAAAGTGCTGTGATCTTCTAGGTAATATGCGATAACACCGAGCAAAGTGAAAAGCATTCGGTGTGGTACGGATGATTCACTTTTGGTTCAAATCTGTTTCATATACTGCGGGCCTAGTCACGTGATGCACACGTGACGTGGTAGACGTGTTCAAACATGTCTAAACACGCGAGTCTATAGGAGAAAGTAATGTCATCATAGATATGAATAAACCTGCTTCGACATATTTTTCCAATGAAACATTTTCCTCGTGAAACAATTTGCCGTGATAAACTATGTTCTCTCTTCGAATTAAGGGTGAGTATTGTAAACATGAAAATGTCCTATAGATGGCTTCCATCACTTTCCCAACAAACCTAGCTTTGTGCCGTCACACTGCTACATGTACTTATCAGTTTCGTATTGAACATAGACATGGTTCTAACTATCTATTTTCAAAATAGCACGTTCTGAAGTAAAAACTGTGCACATCATGTTAGACGGTTAAAACTTAAACCGTACGGTTTATTTGTCATCGCGTTAAAAGGATTGCGTAGTCTTATCTATTTTGTCTATATATTTTTTTCCATACAGGTTGTCTAACGTTCACGGTGTACAACGTGTAGACCATATTAGATGAATTTGATCCAGCTAGACGTACATTTTATTTCCCCTACCTACATTACCCGGCGTATATCGTGTTGACACAACCCGTCTCTATTGCGGTATGGTCGTACTTTCAACACACACCCTGCATCCATCAAACCGGATCAACCAAAACCAGCTCCTTTTTGTATGTATAACCTACAGGCCCGCCGTATGAATCGGGTAGGTCCACTCCAATCCGCCAAACTTCTTTAAGAGATGTAATGCACGCTTCCTTCGATGAAAACCACGTAGGGCTCTCTGTTAAGGTGATCTCTTCGGTCTGGTGTGGGTTGCTCTTACGAACAAGGTAGAGGGTGGCGGGTTACACACGATCGTCCAAAAGTAGACCTTACTCATAGCGCGGTAGCTGTAAGACTGACTCGATTAAAGCGTGTTTGTCGCTTTTATTTCGGAAAATAGAGGATGCAAAGTTCGCCGGGTAAGATGCCGGTGCGTAAGCGTCCGTATTCCGGGTCACTGTACGGCGAGGCGTCCACGACTAAATGACCGTATTTCCTCCCTTCCACCGCATCTTTGTAAGATTCCGAAAAATACTTGCTTTGACCTGGAAATATTTGCGAGGCCAAAATCTTGTATTCGTGAGCCGAACGGGGATTGCTCATCAAGACGAACATATGCGTATTCACGCTCACCGTCCGTGAACAGGGACCTTTAGGGTAGATGGACTGTAGCAGATTGATTACGGTAATACCCAGATGATGCGACAAGGTGGTGTACACGTTTAACATGAGTTTACTGGTACATATGTCCATCATGAGATCGTCTAACACGAGAATCATGTTTTTGCTCGACTGATCGGACCACAAACGTAGTTGGCTTTCGCTGGGTAAAGATTCGTGAAACTGAATGTTAGCAATAGATTGCTGCACGTCGGCGTACAGATCCTGCCACACCCCGTAACAGTACACGATGAGGTCGGGTGGCTTATCAAACACTGTACTGGCATTCTCTAACAGGCGTTTCGTCCAATAGGTCTTGCCGCTACACGTGCCCACGATCACGGACAAGGTGCTAGGTGTGATGAAAGGGAGCAAACATTTCTCGGACATATTTCACGGAGTGTCTGTTTGAACTGATACATTCTATCACCGGTGCGGGCTTATTTATGCAGCCCTCAGTACGAGTGTCCGTTGTTGACGTCTAGCCAGTCTTTGGAGAGCTCTTTGGGCTTCGTCTCTGACCTGTCTGACGTGTTCGTACTCGAATATAAACTGAATCAAGGGAGTATGGTTTAACAGGGTTCGCTTAATGCTTCTATTCGTCGTGTCGGGACGAGCGATACGTCGCAACATTCTCAAATAATGGTTGTGGGGATGAGGCTGTAAGAAACGACGATTCTCACCACGTGTTACCAGGATGCGAGCATCGAGCAATCGCTTTACGATGGCTTTAGTACCCTTGATTTGCTCGCCATTCATGCTGCGAATATCACGCAAGGTTTCTTGGTAATCATTCAACGAAAGAAGTTGTCTGAAAAACGTATAATGTCGCAGGACGTATCTCGCCATGTCTGAATCGTACGGTGGCACACTCGACAATGAAACGTACTCGTGAGACTTTGATCTTAAATAATCATGAAAACCGTATTACCCAACTTACATAGAACCATATACATACATCCATGTCATATATAGAACTGAAACACAATAGACATTTTCTCTGTTTTAATTGACTCTTCTACCAATTTACAGGAAGAAAGATCGTGTTATATCGTAGAACACGTGAAACAGTACTTGAAAAAGTCACAGATAAAACGAGTCACATACACATCATTGCGTGTTTTGTCTGTACAAAACATCTGTACGATATCTCGTAAACTAGCACTATTTCTACATTTCTGTAACGCGTAATATAAACAATAGAATCCACAAGCACTTGAACTAGATTGCTGTAAAACAGACGTGTTATATCGATAACTGCGAGAATGTTTCTTGATAAAATATTCAAATTCACGATGATAGTAACTGGGTTTCTGTCCATAACTATCAAAAACTCGCCGACTCCACACCCGTCAAAGTAAAAGGCAACCCAATGTTGACCCTCTCCACGTGCTAGGTCCGTGTTAGCCACACATCCCCATGGTTTTCCACTGGAAGGTACGGTGATGTAAGCCAATGAATCTCTCGCGTACACACCCACCACGTGTGTACGGAGGCTGGGGTCGCTACGGATGGCACACTGTAACTGTCGTTTGTACATTGTCTACTTTAGAAACACGTTACGGCTTTGGTCGATTTTGATGAGGGCCGGAAACTTGGCCAGGGCGATGACGTTGAAGGTATGGGCGAGGGCTTGAGCAAACTGGACTTCTAGTCGTAGATTACCCGACTTGACCAGATTCAGATATTCCCCTCTGTCGCCTTGGATGTCTTGCAGGTTAAACACGTACAAGGCATGACCTACGGAAAATTCCGTGTGGTCCAAGTTCAAACCTTTGTCTTTGCGCCATTCGTTATTCCAGTCGTACAGACCGGCGTAAGCCTCGACGTCGTTCGACTCTAACGGTCGTCCAGGTACACTGGTACCGTTCAAGTACAGTCCCATGCTTTTAACGATGTCGCCTTGGAAACAGAAGGGATTGACCGTGTACGATCCGTTCACCCCATCGGACCTCACCAAGGCGACCACGAGTCGACTGGGGACTTCGTCCTGAAACATGGCGTCCCAGTTAAAACTCAGACTGGACGAGGCGACCGAGGCCATTTTCATCATGGATCGTTCGTACGGGTACAGGGCGTTGGCTTTTTCGAACTGTTTGTTGTGGGCCACGATGAGAGCGTCGTTGATCCTCAGTTTGCATACTTTCAGGTACACGTCTTGTAGTTTGATGGTGTAATGTTTATCGGTCTCGTCGGACATCAAGACAAAGGTCGTGTTGGAGCGAAACAGTTTGAGCACCACGTCCACGCCGTTCAACAGATGACGGTCGAAACCGAACACGTCTTCCATGAGGGGTCCCGTTAGGGTGAGCGACTTGCTTCTGGCGATGAAGCCTCCTCGATTGATGAGACCGTCATTCCCACCGGCATAGGGATCAGCGGAGTTAAAATCACCCACGGTGTCACCCGAATCTTTGTAATACAGCTGACTGGTCAGCTGACTGGTCTTGGTATTGGTGCCGTAGTCGAGGACGGTTTCCATGAGAGCTTTGTAAGGGTAACCGGCATGCTGGAGCTAACTTGTTGTCCCTGTAGGAACACGCTCACCTGATTCCACAAGCTGTGCAAAGTGAGGTTGACGGGCCCTACTTTTTCTTTATCGACTAAGGGCGTTTTGTCGGTGTGAGTGACTTTGAGTTTGACGTGAAGTCGTCTCTTGCTCAAGTCGATGTAGTCTTTCCCTCCATTGGGTATGTGAAATTCCACCGGACTGGAATCAGTGATGACGGACAGGGGCCTTACGTTCTCGTAGTAAAGTTGAAGGATGCTGGTTTGATAGGGTGGCAGTTCGAATAAATCTAAGCTATTTAGCAGGGCTTCGGTAAACTCTTTCTCCGTCAGTACCGACATGGTTACTGGTTGAAGATGTCTCTGGGGTCGATAGCGGGGGTATCTTTAAACTCGATGAAGGATCGTTTCTTCGAAGTGACAATCTTGTCTCCTGCTTTGCGTTTTATAGCCTTAGTTCGTTTCTGAGCCGCCACGGCTCTCTGGACCACGTTCTGATTGGGTGACGTCATTGTTACGTTCAATTTAGAGTCGCGGCTGGGTGATACTTTGGCTAGGGGTGCGATGGGAATGATTTGCGACCTGGGTCGACCTTTGATCAGCTGTTTTCCCTCATGCTTACTTCTGCGATCTACTAAAAAGTCCACAAACTTCTTAGTGTCGGGAATGTACAGTTTCCGTTCCATCGTGCTTAAGTCAGAAAGGGATACCGTCGCAACACGAGTGATACGTTCACGGTCTCTTTCAGAAATGAATGCGATGTTCCCTCTGCACACTTTATATACACTTTGATTTCTGATGTATCTCTCACGATAACGGGTAAGTACCATGGCTGATGAAAATAATAATTGGGTCCGTCTCTCAGATCGAGTCGTCTCAATAAAGGTAGATAATTCTCACCCACGTGTGAACTGTCGCACAGATTACACAACACGTCAATGGTGGTATTATTGATATCTTTCAACTCGACTCGGCCTAGTTTCATTTCTAACAGAGCCACCATCCACATGCCCTCCAGTTTCAAATGTTGAGACAGTTTCATCCGGAAACGGTAAGGCGTGTTGTCCGGATAATACTGCCAGGAGTCTGCACTCTTAAACACGATGTATTTATCCATTTTACTTGTCCTTCACTTCGCTTGCTTCTACCCAGGAATCGAAACTCGATGACCAGCCTGCCCACCTGACTAAATAGTACAATTTCCCTTTGTCTTTCTTTTTCTTTAACACTTTTTCAATATCCCATGCGGCATCTAGATCTTTATCGACACGCTGTAATTCTTCTTCGTAAAAGCGTCCCTTTAAGAATTGGTCGTGAAAATCTTTCAGTGTGTATAAAGGAATACCCTGTCGTCGATAACGGGCTGCTACTTTAAATAACTCTTCCGTCCATCTCAAGTTGTGTTCCTTAGCAAAAGGTTTTCTCAAATAACTGATTCTCACGATATCCCCTATTTTATATTGAAAGGGACGGAGCTTGTGTGTAATGTATGGTGATGGTTTCGTGTATAAATGATTCCATACTTTGATTTCATTTCGCTCGTTCACATCTGCAGGAGCCCACTCGCCCAAACTTCTGTGTACTGTGTGATTGTAATTATACACTAAATCGGGTAGCACGTCAACATAGCGCTGGGTGTTCTTGTGTGTCAGATACCTCGCTATGAGTGACCTCAACGTTCGAATGACTCTCTCGGCGTAATTCGCTTTAACGTCTTCGTTCTGAGTGACGAACAGTTTGATCGACTGGCGCTCTATAAAATCCTGGAATGCCCCTTTAAATTCCGTACCTTTGTCCACTCTGATGGTTTGTGGCTTGCGACCGTGCGACCAAATGTCTTTGAATGCCTCGACTGTGGACTCGGGTTTCTTGTTTTTTAAAGGGGCTACCCATAGATAGCGTGACAAAATGTCAATGGCTAGCAGCACGTAACGTATACCATCGTTCACTTTAACATAGCGACTCATGTCCATCAGATCGACATCCCACTGCTGATCTATTCGGTTGATGAGTACTCTGAGTCGTTGAAATTTGCGTTTCACCGACTTATGAAGCGTGTAAGCATCGTGCTTGCTCAATTCGGCTTTTACCTTGGACACGCCAACCGTTTTCCCACGTCTTTTAAACTTTGTTGAAATTTGGAGGCACCGTAATACGCACCCGGGGACTTGGGATTAAAGTAATAGCTCTCTAACGAGACGACGACGGTGTTACATGTGACTTACTAGAAATGTTTCTGTCTCGTGAGGTAAACTCAACTGTGACCGCCCCATCTGCGCACACTCTCTTTATATACACAACAATGATAACAGACACATGCATTGTTCAATACTATTATTTATTACATACAAGGCAAACATGAGTGTACAGCTATTGAGATGCTACTTCGGATTATATACAACAGCATACCGTTCACCGGAATGCTCTTTCTAAATAAAACATTTTCCATACACGGTCCTGTATGTCTTTTAACCAGTCACCTGTTTTGAAGTGAGTGTCCAGATGGTCCTTACACCGATACTGACAGATAGCGTGGGAAGACATGCTGCTTAAGCTTGGATCTTCGTGAATCAAGCGAATCCATTGATCAATCACACGATCGTCATTCACTTCGTCTAAGGCTGTATTTATGTATTGGTGTATTTTGTGTTGGTCAGACAAGTCCTGACAAGTATGGTATTGACTGTCAGTTTGTTCAAACATGCAACCGAAACACAGTTGGACGGCGAGTCGTTTGATAATTTTACACAGTTCCACAGTATAGCATAGCGTCAGTAACGACAACATGTAGTCAGTGACTTCAACCGATTCCACTTCATCTACGACGATAGCTTTCATCTTCTTAGTGATGATTCGTTTTAACTTCTTATCCTCGTTGGGGACTTTCATCTCGGCATCTTGTATACAATGTTCCCGATGTTGAAACCATCTAGACGACTGTATAACGACGGTTTCGTGGATCCGATCGGGTTCGCGTTGCACGTACTTCCAGGTGAAGAAAGTCATTCTGTCACTCGACATTCTATATAGGATGGAAGTTTTCTTTCTCGGCTAGTATGCAGGGAAGGATGCGACTCGTAAGGAAGTCTCATGCCTGAATGAAACAGTATGCGTGGTGTACTTTCTTTTTATATCTGTTATATTTAGAAAAGGATATCATGATGCAGTCATCGTATAGTCTGCACAGTCACAGTTCATTATAACGTACACATACTGCGTGGATTGTATGGCATACAGTCATCCAGTAGCGTCCTGACTTTGAGCAGCTGTCGCCATTCTTCTGGCTTAAGAGCCATGCTTTTGCGCGTTGGTTTTACTTCCCGTTCGCCATCAGGTAGCCACCACTGCCGTATATCCACGACTTTGTTGGGCGAGTTCATGGTTAGGAAAACGTTACACCCTAACGGTAGACAGAGAGAGCAATCTTCCTTGTTCAGGATTTGACTTAACGAGTCTGACACAGTCTTTTCAATAACCTTCAGCTGCGCCCATTGATCCAGAGATAAACAAATACCTGCCTTGGTGGGATAGAGTAAGCCTTCAGCACTCCATTCGTATTGACGAATGTCTATTTTCCACTCTCCACTCCAACGGGTAGCCTTGATGTAGCGACTACTGCCGATATGAAACATACTCTCTCTGTGTTCTTCTGATGAACCCACTGCTTGCTTTGTGGATCCCGTAGATGGACTTGTACTGCTCGTTGCCATGACTCAAGGAAAGTGCTGTGATCTTCTAGGTAATATGCGATAACACCGAGCAAAGTGAAAAGCATTCAGTGTGGTACGGATGGCCTCTGCGCTGTAAATGATTCACTTTTGGTTCAAATCTGTTTCATATACTGCGGGCCTAGTCACGTGATGCACACGTGACGTGGTAGACGTGTTCAAACATGTCTAAACACGCGAGTCTATAGGAGAAAGTAATGTCATCATAGATATGAATAAACCTGCTTCGACATATTTTTCCAATGAAACATTTTCCTCGTGAAACAATTTGCCGTGATAAACTATGTTCTCTCTTCGAATTAAGGGTGAGTATTGTAAACATGAAAATGTCCTATAGATGGCTTCCATCACTTTCCCAACAAACCTAGCTTTGTGCCGTCACACTGCTACATGTACTTATCAGTTTCGTATTGAACATAGACATGGTTCTAACTATCTATTTTCAAAATAGCACGTTCTGAAGTAAAAACTGTGCACATCATGTTAGACGGTTAAAACTTAAACCGTACGGTTTATTTGTCATCGCGTTAAAAGGATTGCGTAGTCTTATCTATTTTGTCTATATATTTTTTTCCATACAGGTTGTCTAACGTTCACGGTGTACAACGTGTAGACCATATTAGATGAATTTGATCCAGCTAGACGTACATTTTATTTCCCCTACCTACATTACCCGGCGTATATCGTGTTGACACAACCCGTCTCTATTGCGGTATGGTCGTACTTTCAACACACACCCTGCATCCATCAAACCAGATCGCACGCTCTCGCGAGCGCGGTCAATTTGAAACGACTACCTGAGTTGTACACTAATTGTAATTTCTACTAACGTCTGAAATAAACGAAACCATTTTGACCAACAAACAATAAACAATTTGAAACGACGTGGTCACGTGAGTTGTCAAGCGCGCTCAATTCAAACTGGGCTGCTTGTCTATTCAGGGCAGCACGCCATACGCATAGCTCTTTTGAATACCCTTTACTTTTGTTTACTTGTTTACAAATTCTTTTCTGTCTTATAAACACACACCTTTCATTCCCCGCCTTTTCCCGACGCGCTGTTGATGCATGAGTCATCCTCTCGATCACGTGACTTGGATCAGCCAATCACCTTCGCATCCGCCTGGATCAACCGGATAAACCAAAACCAGCTCCTGCGCCCTCACTATATACTACTTGCACCACCTCGCAGATGTTGGAGTGGCTCTTCCTGGCTAGATGGCTGGTCTTGTGGTGCCACTCTTCA